CCCACCACCACACCAATCAACCCCTCCTATGTTTCCCCATATACCACCTAAGAAATACTTCTAAAACAGCCTGCAAGTTCCCCTCATTTAGCCCTCCCTTTGGCCGAAATATCCCCACAAAAACCAATCAAATAAGTGGGTTTTATTCAATTATTCCTTCCTTCCACTAATGGCCAAAATTCCAACCCTACATGTACAACCCCTACTGCATTTTCTCCCCACCAAAAGGGCATCAATAAGTGGTCATTATTTTCCTTTGATTTGTGTGAATAAGAGACTTGTTAGTCTCCTTGTGTGTATGTATAAATTTCGGCCATAGGCCATTGATTTCTCAAGTTGTAATCTTGAATTTTCTTAGTAATACACTTGTGTGTTTTGCTACCCAAATTCCTAAATCTATATCTTAAGAGTGCTTCTCTTGAGTGTGAGTTTTAGGTTCTAGTCATTTGAATAAGTGTGTAATATCTTATTTCAATGCTAGGCACAACCCCAAGTGAGGATAAGAGTGTGTAATATCTCTTAAACACCAACTTGGTTTATCTATTTTAGGAAAGTATTATAAGTCTTCATCTCCTCCTCTTTCCCATTTTCGGCCTCCCCAAATATCCTCCCCCCTTAAATATCAGTTTTCTCCTTCATTCCTCACTCAAACAATAGCCTAAAATATATCTTCCTTGCTGCCATTTTCGTCCCTATCCTTCCCCGTCCTTAAAACTTCTATTCCTTGCCCAAAACTTCACCAACAAAGCCTTATAACCTCCACCCCTTACCTCCGATCCCTTCCATTCGTCCCTTTCTTTCCTTAAGTTGGTGCCTAACATTTGATATCAAATCTTGTTGTTGAACATCCTCTTAAGGCCACACAACACACTTCCAATTTCCTTCTCCTTTTTCCCAAAAGCTACTGCCCTATCCTAGTCCCTTTTCCATCAATTCCCTTCATCATGTCAAACACTTCCAACAACCTCTCCCATGAAGAACTCTTAGCCTCTAATGCTGCTCTCAAAGCCCAAGTTGAATACTTGGCTAAACAAGTTGCTCAACTCACAAAACTCAAGATGAGCATGGTGAACACCTCGGAGGAAAGTGATGAAGAAGAAGAAGTTCATATAGACGCTGACTCTAGTAACACTACTAGAGGAGAAAACCATGAAAGAGGAGTTACTGATTTCAAGGTTGACATACCAACCTTTGAAGGAAAGAATGATCCGGATGACTTTTCATATCCTTCATCATATGGCCAAAAATACCATCCTAAATATCCATAAACCCAACCCTATTTACCAAGGATAAGGATAAAAACATCAAGGGACCCAACCATTGATTAAATAGTGCAAACTTTGTCATATTGTCCTTAATGGTCAAAGTTACCACTTTCCTTGATTCCCTTCTCACATGGCCAAAATTAATAACCCATGTTAAGCCAAAATCACAACCATTTAATCCCTTTTCCTGATCAATGAGTGCTGCCCACTAAGAATAATAACACATGGATATTAATCACATGATTTGTAGGAAAGTGTAGTGTAGCTTCCTTTATTTTTGCCTTATATATTTCACCCAAGAGGCCTTGTATTCCCATCTCATTTTCATCATCAATATTACTCTTGAAGTATTCCCTGAATTGGTGTGAAGCTAGTTCAATCTATTTCCTTATGAAATATCTCTAATGTTGGCTACTTTTGAGTGTGTGTTAAGAGTGTATTTAATACTTTAATAGTGATTATTATTGTATGAAATAGATAACAATCCAAAATATATTAAGAGTGTGTTTATCTCTTACTTATTATTTGGTTTATCCTTATACAACAAAACCACAAAATATTTTCCTCTTTCTTTCCCAATCTTGATCCTGAAAACCTGAATAATCGATTATACACAACTGATAATCGACTATTCCATCCCTCTGATTCCTCGTCACAAAACCAGCAACCTTCAACAATCGATTATCTGTATCCTCTGAAAATAACCAGTTTTGTGCAAGCCCTTGTTAATCGGTTGTTCTTAAGTGTTAATCGACTATTTGGCATCTCTGAATATTTCTAGTTTGGAAACCAAATCCTGTTAATCGATCATCTAAAGGTTCTAATCAATTATTATACATCTCTGAACCTCAAAGTCCTAAAGTTGTTCAATTCTTGTTTGCCTATCCTAAGCTTGGGTATAACATTCAGTATTAGAGCTTGGGGATTCTCCTGTATCTTGGAAGACAGAAAAGCAAACCACTATGGCACGATCCTCCGCTGAAGTGGAGTACCATGTGCTTGTCGCTCCTACGTGTGAACTGAAATGGTTGAAGGGATTGCTTCGTTCTCTTAGCATATCTCATACTGATCCTATGACATTTTTATGACAGTACCACTGCCCTACTAACATATTACATCCAATTTAGTTTCCCATTAACACACAAAATATAGATGGAGTATATGTTAATTTTTTATTTTTATTTTGATTTTTATTTCAAACACAAAGAATTTTGAATTTTTTAAACTTATTTAAAAATTGAAAATAAATTTGAAAAAAATAGGAAAAGGAAACAAATAGAAAAAAAGAGATAAAAAAGATAAAACCAAATAATAAACGAAAAATAAGATATGAGCACTAGTGCCCCTTATGGTTTAGAAAATATGAAACAATGCCTCCTTTTTCGTTGGAAAATGATCGGGAAATGATCAGAGATGGTGTGGGTGCAATTTTGAAACTATGAGGAGTTTAGAAATAAGTTTTAAAAAACACAGGAGGTATTGGTGCTGATTTTTCAAACCACAAGAAACACTAGAACTATTTGCCCATAAATTACTCATACCCAAACTAGTTTGGTCTATATACCCAAACTCGAAATCAAACATTTGTATATTAAAAATTTTAAATATGTGAGGGGTACACTAAGAAATATATCACAAGTTGTATCTCAAAGAGATCACTAACATTTTAAAAGTTCATGATCACACAAAATATTAGTTCAAACAAAAAAATTTATACTGATATTTTGTATCATTGTAAATAACTTAATTCAAAAAGTTGAAGTTGGGCAAAAAATTACTGCTGGGTACCCCCAATTTTGTAATAAAAACTCCCAGGTCCCATTGTTTTTCAAAATATACTCCGAGGTACCTTAAGATATTCGAAAATTGACTCCGGGGTGACTATCTGTCACTCTCTCTGTTAACATCCTTTCTTCCGTTATCTTCTTCTTCTCCTCCTCCTCCTCCTCCTCCTCTTTCTTCTTCTTCTTCTTTTTCTTCTTCTTTTCTTCTTTTCTTCTTTTCTTCTTCTTTCTCCTTCGCCTTCCAGTCCATTCCTCCCCCCACCCCCGTTTTTTTTCTTCTTTTACTTTTTGTTTTGTTTTTTTCTTTTTCTTCTATTATAATTATTATTATTTGTTATTAATTATTATAATTACTTCATATTAATTATTATTTTCTTATTTTATTATTATTAATAATTTTTTAATTTATTATTATTACTATTATTATTAAAAATTAATTGTTAGTTTTACCACTCTTTTCTATAAAAACACTAATTGTTATTTAGAAAAATAGAACTTATTAAAAAAACACTTATTATTAATACTGTTATTTATTTTAAACAATTAATTAGTGATTTTACTTCTGTAATTTTTTATAAAAATACCACTAGTTATGATTATTACTTCATATTTTATCCATCTTATTCTTTTCTCAAGTCCTCTTGTTTTCTCGATTTACCGTGACACCACTACCAATGGCGACTACAAATGACTAATGCGTGGCTAATGCGAAAGACATCGGATGTCAAAAAATTAGAGCAGTAAAACTACTAAAAAAATTTACAATGATAATAATAAGTTTTATTTTAAACAATTAATACTGTTTTTCTAAATAATAATGATTGTTACTCCGTATATCTTAAAAATAGAGTACTAAAATTACTACTCTGTAATTAATTTTTAATAATAATTAAGAAAATAATAGGAAATAAATAATACTATCTCCGTCTCGAAGCATATGCCAGGTTTTGACTTTTTTCTATCAATTATTTTTAACTTTTGACCTATAATTAAATAAAAAATATATTGTATATTAATTCGATAAAGTAATATTTTGAAAATATTTTATATATTAAATCTAATAAAATTATTTTTGTATCAATATCTAATATTATTATTTTTTAATTTAGGGTTAAATTTTATCAATTTTTACCGAAAAAATCAAAAGGAGATAAATACTCTAGAACAAAGGAGTAATTAATATGAAGTAATAATAATAACTAGTGGTATTTTTTTAAAAAAGTACAGAATTAAAATCACTAATTAATTTTTAAAAATAAATAACAGTATTAATAATAAGTGTTATTTTTCTAAATATTAATTAGTGTTTTTATAGAAAAGAGTGGTAAAACTAACAATTAATTTTTAATAATAATAGTAATAATAATAAATTAAAAAATTAATAATAATAATAATAGAATAAGAAAATTATAATTAATATGAAGTAATTATAATAATTAATAACAAATAATAATGATTATAATAGAAGAAGAAGAAAAAAACAAAACAAAAAGTAAAAGAAGAAAAAAACGGGGGTGGGGGAGGAATGGACTGGAAGGCGAAGGAGAAAGAAGAAGAAGAAGAAGAAGGAAGGTTAACGGAGAGAGTGACGGATTGTCACTCCAGAGTCAATTTTCGAATATCTTAAAATACCTCGGAATATATTTTGAAAAATAATGGGACCTGACAGTTCTTATTACAAAATTGGGGGTACCCGACAGCAATTTTTTGGAAGTTGGGTATACTATTTTTGTACAAATAACTTAATTCAAAAAAATTAGGAAGTTCAGTCTTTTGCTTTAGCTTTCTCTTATCCTCGTTTGAATCCTTCCATCAATGGCTCTGCTTCGTCCGCAGATCCCAACGTCCCCTGCAACCGGAGTCTACTCGAATTATCCCTACAGCATCTGGACCTTTAAACACAATATAGCGAAGGGTAGTGGTGGGCGAGGTGCAGGAAGATGCTGCAACGCCATTTCGATTGATGCACCCGCGGCCGTTTCCGGCATCAGATGGGGGTCGGCGCTGCTACAGGGCGCCCGTGGGGAGATGGAGGACGATGCCATGATTGTTCAGTCAGATGATCTTGGCGGGTTCTCTTACGCCGCGGTTTTTGATGGCCATGCTGGGTTTTCTTCTGTCAGATTCCTCAGGTGTGTGAAGATGGAGAAATTATGTTTGATCAATATTTACATATCTATAAGTTCTGTTGGTTCCCAATCTCTTTAAGCTTGTCACCCTCTTCTTAATCTGAATTTGGTCGTGGCTTGGTAGAAGCCTTGAAATATTATCTCCCAGACTCCCAGAGTCAGGAGACAAGACATAATGAGGTAGTGGAAATGAGACTGCTGCGCCTTCTTCTGTGAACTGGAGAAACTGATCGTGTGAGGCATGACACAAAAACCTATAGCACATTGTTCTCAATAAAATCGAACACCTATCCCACAAGTTCCTTGGCCTGAGTTTCTCTGCTGCTTTCTGTTCTTCAGCACTCACCATCCACTTCAGTACAGAATTGCTAACCATTTGTGACACTTTCCGAAGTAACATCATCCCCGATGGAACCCCTCTATGCCGCTACCTTCAACTTCAATGACGTCTTAGAGAATTTAGGAGAGAGTCAGATTGAGACAGAAAGATATCACACTAAGAAATTCAGACTCCAAGTAGTTTTTCTTTGTTTCAAATTGTTTGCTCTAGATAGGTCATTCTTTCCAATGCACCTAAAGTATGTACTCCAACTCAGTTTTGGCCTGCCTATATATGTTGCTACTTTCCACTTCTATAACATATTTTCACTTTATCACATGAATATAATATATGTAAAATTTTCACAAGTTTGTCATTTAGAAATGTTTATGTGAAAATGCATGACTTGTTTTTAACAATCAAAGGGATGAGCTGTATAAAGAATGTGTTAGAGCATTACAAGGCGGACTTCTGTTGAATGGAAAGGACCTAAATGCAGTAAGAAAAGCTCTACAAGAGGCTTTTGAAAGTGCTGATGAAAAACTTATGAATTGGTAAATTCCCAATGTGTGATCTCCATGAAAGTTTTGATTTTGCGTTTGCAAGGTTCACGATACCATGGTCTAGCTATGATTTTACACTCAATATGATTGCATTGACGGTTTAGATGCTGCTTCATTTTGTTAAGGCTTGAGACAAGCGGGGAAGAAATTGAATCTGGATCAACAGCTACAGTCATATTTGTTAGCAATGATGCACTATTCATTTCACACATTGGTGATTCTTGTGTAGTATGTGACTATTATTGAGTCATTTCATTACCAAATGATTTATTGTTAATGCTTTCTACACAAAAGGTCAAGTACATTCATATATATTCAGGTTTTCTCACGGTCTGGGAAAGCAGAAATGTTGACCAGTTCTCACCGGCCGTATGGAAGCAACAAAACTTCTCTTGAAGAAATTAGACGAATTAGGGAAGCTGGCGGATGGGTAAGTTTCTACTTACTCCATCTCGCACTTTACCAAATTGTCTAAATCCTTGTCTTGGGTCAAAATATGTTTTCGCATAAATTCCAATTCAAGTTGTGTGTAAAATATGCAGATTGTAAATGGACGAATATGCGGGGACATCTCTGTATCCCGTGCTTTCGGGGATATGCGATTTAAGAACAAGAAGAAAGAGTATGCTTTTTTATTGTCCTCAAAAAAATCCTTAGCTGAAATTCGTTGTTATTTCATGAATCCAAATATGGTCATTTCATGAATAGGAAGGACTTATAATTTACTCCGGAGTAGTATAAAATCTCATATCTGTCTTATTGCATGCCGACTAAAAGGATGCTGGAGAAGGGTGTTGTGGAAGGCAGGTGGTCTCAGAAGTTTGCTTCTCGGTAGGTTTTATCTCAGGTCCGATCCATCTCTCTCGTAGTATTGAAAGGTGAAAGGCGAGAGGCAGGTGAGAGGGCCTTTTTTAAGGCGAGAGGCGGGCGGCCAAAAGGCGAACTTGAGGCATACACAGTTACATAAAATATATACTGCAGTGCAATTAATAATTTCAATCCCAAGCAAGTCATACATGTTAAACAAAACAACTAGAGTAGTTACTACATATGTTTCTAAAAAGCGAGTATTTAATATATAGAAAAGTATTAGGTAGTGTTTGGCAACCAACATTTCATAATTTCAATTCATGCATTTCAATTCCAAAATTTGAAATCTTGAATTTCAAATGACAAGAGAAGGTGCATGGATTTCTAAATAAGCTTTGTTATGAATGAGAAGATTTTGATCCAAATTCAAATTTTTTAAGTTTCCCAAACATGGAATTTGAACCAAATCAGGATTTGAAATCCAAATCCATGTTCCCAAACATACCATTAAAAAATTCCAGCTCATTTTTAAAAGGCCCATAGCCAGTAAGGTGAGAAAGGCGAACAGCTCTGGCAAGAAAGGCGAGAAAAATGAGTGAATCAGGCGAGAAAGGCAGACAATGCCTCGCCTGAACATATACAAAGGTCGCCCGGATGCCTGAGGCACCTTACAGGAGGGAGGCGCTCACCTTTCAAAACTATGATCTATCTATACTACATTAATGTCTAATTAAACAAAGTATGCTTTGTCGGATGCACAAGTGGAAGTGTCAGTGGGTTTTTTATTGTTAGTAAGAATATATTTTTAATTGCAATAGATATTATGTCAAATATAACATTCTTTAACTCTATATCGCGTTCTCGATTACCATTTCTCCTATCCTCCTTCCCCCTTCCCTTCACCTCATTTTAATAAAACAAGGGGATATTCTTGTTCTCAACTTAGAATCTTTTTTCTAGTAACTTGTTGTCGAAATTTCATTTATATGTTTAATGACTGTTACAAATTATCCCAGAGTAAAGTTTCACAGTCACTTGCTAACGGCTTTACCAGATGTTTCTCAAATTACTCTTGGATCAGATGCCGAATTCGTACTTTTAGCATCTGATGGATTGTGGGATTACATTAACAGGTCTGTTTGGATTGCAATTTCGGACTCAGGCTAGAGTGGTCATTTTCTTAATTTAGATCACAATGTGTTTGGTTGATAGATTCAGCAGGAACTAACTCCCTGACCAATTTTGCCACATTTAAGCTTTGAAGCAGTTAACTTCGTTAGGAAACAACTTCGGGAACACGGAGATGTTCAGGTAAGCAATCAACTTTGCAGTTGGCACACTTATAGCTTGTGTTTGGATGGAGTGAAATTGGAAGGAAATAAAAGGTTGGGAGGGAAAACACAATTCCCAAAAAAATTTCCTTTGTTTGTTTGCATGAGAAAATGGAGAGGGAAAGGAAAATGACTCCCATCCCAAACTAAAAAATTTTCTCCTCTCAATAGGTGAGAAAATTGTTTAGATGGAGAGAAAACTATTGAAATGACACTTTTGCCCTCTATTGCATTCACTTTTTAAAAACATAAATATATATTATATAACAAGGGTAACATTGTCTTTTTATTTTAATATATTTTCTTTCCACTTACTTTTTCTCTCCATTTTCTACCTATCCAAACAACATTTATTTTCTTTCCATTTTCTCTCCATTTTATCTTCTCTCCCTTTTCTTTCCACCCAATTTCTCTCCTTCCATTTTCTCTCTTTACACAAACAATGCCATAGTCTCTTGGAACACTGTGCTTAACATCTTCCAGTTCTGTCAACAGAGAGCATGTGAAGCCCTTGCCAGGAATGCCCTGGTAATTAAGTCCACCCTGATTTTTCTAGTACCCTATATATAGTGTCATTTTCTAATACCCTTATATTGCATGCCATTTTAATGTCTATTTTCATTTTCTACAGGATCTCCGATCACAAGATAACATCAGCATAATTATTGCTGATTTGGGGTATGTACATGCTTCTTGGATGATTCTCTGCTGCCACTAAATCAGTTATTGTTTCTTAACCAAACTGAATACCCAGCAAAGACAATGTTTTTGTCAAATTCCATGTTGGCATTACTATACACTAGTTTATGCATGTACTGTATGACTATGAGCTGTTGAAAATTGCGTCTCATTTTCGCATTGCCAAATTTCATATTGTGAGGAAAATTGTTAGTTTGAAACCCATTATGATTGGTCAATTCGGAGCTCCTACCACAACTCTGCGAACAGCAGCACACCACACTGACCACTGACTAAGTTACTCTTTAAAATTTCTTTTCTGGTTTTTGGAATTGATCTGTTAACAGGCGCACGAATTGGCAAAGCAAGCTTGTGCAGCAGCAAAATGTTCTCATTGAGCTGGTCCAAGCTTTAGGTACGATAGGAATCGTATCAGTTGGAATATGGATGTCAACACAACTCTCCTTTTGAGCTTGTAGTTTGCTTAAATTTGTATACAAAAATCAGTTCAGCTGAATGAAACAAAGATATAATCAAATGGTAGTATATTTTACCTTCTAACGTCCTACTTCTTCATATGTGATGATTGCTGTCTGGAATTTGACAAATGAAAGTAGAGCTTTTGTAATTCGATTGTACCTAGAGGTTTTGAGTTTAATCAGCACTCCATTCAATTCTGCGAATAGTGCTTGTGCGAGGTGCGCCTCTAGGTTGTGGGATTCTTCTCTTCTTTTTATTTTTATTAGAATTAGACTAGATCAGAAAGATTTATATCATACTCCGTATCATACAAGATCAAGATTAGATCAAAAGCATATACTCCCTTTGTTCCATAAAAACTTTCCCACATTGAATTGAATGCTTACTATTTACCAGGTCAAATTTCATTCATTTTTTTCTATTATCGTTAGTCATTTGATAAAATAAAATAATCATGTCACTACTAGTTTTGTAGATCTTTTGATCTAGTATTTTAATATTTAATTTTTATTTTTAATTTTACATTATTTTTGTCACACCCCAACCCGCATGACCCGAGTTTAAGAACCAGCAAATCAGGTTGTTACTAAATTGGTATCCAAACACAACTCATTTTCAAAACAATTCCAAATAAATACTTCAAAACCAACTCAAGAAATCCTCTTTGGATGGGTGAGATCCCTGTTTCCTCTTTGGATGGGTGAAATCCATGTTTCCTTAGGAACGACAATTCATAGATCTCTGTGCGCACATTTTTACTCAGATAGCCATTGCACTCAGCAGGTACTACATGGCTCTAATCTACTTTACTTATGACATACTTTCCACTAATCTATTCTGTCATTCCCTAGAGTTCATCTAGATGCTATGTTCAATATCTATTAACAATTCATAATACAACATTCGTAAGTCCATCATGCATTTAACAAGATATCCAACACGATCAAATAGTGACCTAACATTGAGTGTAACCACCCATGTTTACTGTCATGCAACGCACCAAGTCTCGAAATCAATCCTCGACGGAAAATAAATGCTTTCGGACGAACTCTGGTATCGGACGATACTTGGTCCAGTACCTTAGCACTGTCACGTTACCTTAGTACCATCTAGACAGTAGGAGCTACCGTCCGACACTAAGTCTGTCTCCTACGGTAGGAGGCTAACAGTAGTCGGGTACCGTCCCTGGCGGTAGGGCCTATCGTCCACTCCGTACCTAGGTACTGGACGGGTGCAGGTACCGACAGTGAAAAATAGCCTATGACAGTAGCATGATATCGCCTCGCAGTACCTAGCTACCGTTAGTCGCGAATTACCTGTTTTAGCAGCAACTCATTTCCAAACGTTCATAGACAACCAATTTTCATAAAGTTTAGTACAAATACGCATGAAACAGTCCCAATTTCTATTCTAAACTATCATGATAAGTTCGCTAACAATATAAGCCTTAAATCAATGCTAATTCACAAACTAACGCAAGTATCATGTTCGCTTCTTCGGCTCTGCTCTCCGATCGGCAAAGAAGATAGGGGAGAGAGATGGTTTACATCAGAGGGTTACATGATTTTAAGAATGAAATCTAGTCTTTGGATCTGATGTATCGTACGGCTCATATTGCATCATGCACTCAGATTTTGAGATAATGCATTTTTAAAGGATTTTGCTGCATTTCGACATGATGCATTTTCTAATCATTTTGGTGCACCTAATTTTGATGCAATCCTCACTCTTAGATCTCACAATCTAAAGCACCAGATTCATTCTTATTTCTTTCATAAGATCGCATTCTCATTTGAACCAATATATATATATATATATATATATATACACACATATATATATATATAAGTACAAACAGAAGTACATAACTATATACCGCCTAGTCGAACAAGTGCTTAAGACATAAATTATGCATAAAACAAAACACCAATTAGGAACAAGAAAACAATTCGCTAGCGTTTCATATTTTCCTGCATCAACGTTTGTGTCTCACGAACTTCTATGATTTGTTGAAGGCAACCAGTGACTTCGTTTTGCACCTCCGTGCGTAACTTGGATAGCTTACCACAATAACAATAAACTAAACAATTTGCAGAATGCATTGCCGATGTAACCTCGGTACTCATACTTTGTCGACCTCGAGGCTCTGTGCACAATTCATCTGTCGCCTCCAGAGAGCGCATCGCCGCGGGTTGGTCACTCATCCTCGTTGAGTGGTGTCTAAGAGAGAATATATATATATATATATATATATATATATATATATATATATATATATATATATATATATATATATATATATATATATATATATATATATATATATATATATATATATATATATATAATTTTTAAATATGTTTAAACCACCGGTTCGACCAGTTGAACCACTGGTTCAACCAGTGAACTAGTGAATCAGTACCTTAACCGGTTCGGTCACCGGTCCGGTTCTCAAAACTCTACCGGGTGAGAGCTTTCTACTCTCCGATTTAGTGACCGGAACTCCACTCCCAGCAAATCGTTAAGGTCGGAATTCTTTACAAGCTCACCGCCACCCCTCATCTGCTCCACCAATCCTCAAACCTCAACACTTATTTTATACAGAACCGGTGAATGGACAAATCCCTTCCTCTTCTCAGGATGATTTAGCCGCGTCAAAGTCTTCAATTGAGATTCATACCAACAGAGATAGCTACGCTGACATCTTAAGGGGGATTCCGTCAATCAGAGATGGAAACAAAAATCCCTGCCAATCAATAGCAATCTCTAAAACTCAAAAGTTTCGAATTGAAGGTAAGACTTTTCTCTTTACGCCTTCAAAATTCAATAAGAAGATGCGTATTACAGAAATTCAGAGGAGCAGGAAGCTGAATATATGGCTAGGTTTAGACCTTTGTGCTTGGCTACTGGATAATCTCCAATCTGTCACTCAAGAGGGATACATACGATCCTCTCAACAGAGGGAGAACAAGAGATTGCTTTCAGTCTCGTTCCAAGCCTCTAGAATCGGTAACCACTTTAGACTTAGTGAATTCCACCAGGATGGAAAGGTTTGGATCAACATTCCAGAAGGAAACCAAGGTTTGGGCGTAACCTCCTTTACCTCCTACTTTAAGGTGGCTTTTGACTCTCTTAGATTATCTCTTCCCCCACCTCCTCCTTTTTTGGACAAAGCATTTTTGTGTTTTAACTCCTCCCCCACCTCGTCAGTGCATTTTGAGCTCTCAATCTCTTCTTACCTGCTCACTTTAGATATCCCACGTGATCATAGTGACACACCTATTGACATTCCTCCTAAGACTCATTTTTCCCCACTCAAGGAACCACAACAACCAGTTTCTGCAGCCCAATTCCCCCTTTTCATATCCCCCATAGCCCTCTCTCTCCAGCAGCTCAACCTTTTCTTCCAGGTGCAAAGGATTGCTCACAACCGAAGGAGATCCAACCCCACTTCTTGGGGTGCTCCAATTCTGATAATCATGATTTAGAAAGATCACAGTGGAACGTGAGCTACAACTCAGGTTCAGAGAAGCAGACAAAGCTTTCTTTTAAGCCTTTTCTAGAAGAATCAGAAGAAGAGTGGGTTACAGATAGAGGGTCGGAAGATGAACCAGACTGGCATGCTAGGAAAGAAACGAGTAAAAGGAGAAATCAGAGGAAGTTTGAGCAGCTATGCTTACAGTTTAAAGACTCCCCCAAGCCAAGGAGGAGCAAGAGGTTAACAGACCTGAAAACTGGATTAATTCAGGAGAAAGGTTTGCTTTAAAGTCCCTAATTTCATCTCTGTTTTACTTATTCAATTAACTTTATGAAGGCTGGTTTCAAGGTTTACTTTTGTGCCAAGGCTCGTTCTGTTTTAGCTCTCTATCAATTAATTTTTAATAGTTTGGAAAAGAGTTCCTCTGTTACCTTTCATCAATCTTTCCATCTTGGACTATTTCCCAAAAGATATAGAAAGGGAAACAAGACATTTTGGAGAATAGCTGTTGATTTACAAGCAGCTTGTCTTGGTGAATAGCTGTTGATTTACAAGCAGATTGTCTGGATACGCGTTGGTTTGTTGCAGATGTATTTATTACATCACATGCTGTTTGAGGGCCATTATACAGCAATCAACATGCTGCAATAGACCCCCCCCCCCCTTTTTGGCCTACTTTGTTTTGGCGCCTTTCATTTACATTTTAGTATTCTTGTAAGGTGTTATGTTTAGACTTGTTTCTATCGTTTTGGGCTTTGGGCAGTACACATTCTGCCTTGTATTTTGTTTTTCCTTTTTCTTGTAATAAAAATTTCATTTCAATATATATACATACATAGATATATATATATATATATATATATATATATATATATATATATATATATATAAAATGGCGAGATCTGTAGAGAGAGGCGAGAGCTTTCTACGCTCCGATTTACTCATCGAACCGGCCAACTGTTCAGGCCAATTATCTTTACAAACCCACCGCCAACCTTCATCAGCTCCACCAATCATCAAACTTCCACACTCATTTTATACAGAACCGGTGAATGGCCATATCCCTTCCTCTTCCAAGGATCGTCCAGCCCTGACTAAGTCTTCAATCGAGAATCCTTCAATTGCCCAAGCGACAACGCTTTCCATCGGAGAAAGCTACGCTGACATCTTAAGGGGGGCTCCGCCAATTTCCAGGGATGGAATAAAAAATCCCAATCAATCAACAGCAATCTCTACATCTCAAAAATTTCGAATTGAAGGTAAGACTTTCCTCTTTACCCCTTCAAGATTCAACAAGAAGATATGTATTACAGAAGTTCAGAAGAATAGGAAGCTAAATATTTGGCTAGGGTTAGACCTTAGTACTTGGCTCCTGGATAATCTCCAATCTGTCACTCAAGTGGGATACCTTTGATCCACTCACCTTAGGGAGAACAATAGACTGCTTTCAGTCTCATTCCAATCCTCTAGAACTGGTAATCACTTTAAACTTAGTGAATTTCACAAGGATGGAAAGGTTTGGATCAACATTCCAGAAGGAAACCAAGGTTTGGGTTTAACCTCCTTTACATCATACTTTAAGGCAGCTTTTGAATCTTTTAGACTCTCTCTTCCTCCACCTCCTCCTTTTTTGGACAAGGCAGTGGTATGTTTTAACCCCTTCCCCTCCACGCCATTACCTTTTGAGCCCTCCATCTCTTCTTTGTTGTTCACCTTAGATATCCCAGGTGATTATAGTCACACACCTATAAACATTTCTCCTAAGATTCCTCCCCCCCCCCTCAAGGAACCACAACAGCCAATTTCTGCAACCCCATTTCCACCTTTTCATATCCCTCATAGCCCTCTCTCTCCAGTAGCTCCACCTTTCAATCCAGGTGCAAAGGTCTGCTCACAACCGAGGGACCAACCTCACTTCTTGGGTTGTTCAAATTCTGATAATGATAATGATTTGGAAAGATCACAGTGGAACGTGAGCTATAACTCAGGCTCAGAGAAGCAGACAGCCTTATTTTAAGCCTCTTTTTGATTCAGAAGAAGAATGGGTCACAGATAGAGGGTCAGAAGATGAACCAGACTGGCATACTAGGAAAGAAGCAAGTAAAAAGAAAAATCAGAGGAAGTTTGAGCAGCTCTGTCTTCAGTTTAAAGACTCTCCAGCGCCAAGGAGGAGCAAGAGATTAATGGACCTGAAAACTAGATTAATTCAGGAGAAAGGTTTGCTTTAAAGTCCCTAACTCTGTTTTGATTGCTCACTTTACTTTATGAAGGCTAGGTTCGAAGTCTGTGTTTGTGCCAAGGTTCTTTAACTTTCGTCTTAGCTCTTTCCATTATTTTTAAAAGTTGAGGATATCCAGGAGTCCATCTTCGTATACTTCCTAATTTAGCAGCTACAGCAACTTCATTGGGATACAGAAAGTGAAGAAAGTCTCTTTGGAGAATAGCTGTTGATTTACAAGTACCTTGTCTTGATTCTCTTTGGTTTTTTGCTGATGTATTTTCTACATCTCTAGCTGTTTGAGGGTGTATTTACAGCATCTATGTCTGGCAGTAGTTTTTTGGCCTATTTGTTTTGGCGCTTTCCACTTATTTTTAGCTTTCGATGTTATGTTTAGGCTGTAATTCTTCCGTGCTGGGTGTTAGGCAGTACACAATCTGCCTTGTAATTTTTCCTTTTCTTGTAATAAAAATTTTGTTTCAAATATATATATATATATAATATATAATATATATATATATATAATATATATATATATATATATATATATATATATATATATATTACCTCAGTCCTGTTATATTTGTCCACTTTTGACTTTTGGAACTGTTCATCTAAGTACTTTGACTCATCAAATTCTCTCAATGTGTAAGCCTAAATATAGTCATATGTGATCTTGTTTGATTTGTCTTAACATATAGATTATTAATATATAATTTCTATAATTTTTAATATACAAATTACAAGATAAAATGGATTAAAGAAGTGCATTGGATGGTGTGTAAAAATGAAAGTGGACAAATACTCTAGAACGGAGAGAGTATATATATATATATATATATGGGCCGGTTCTCGTGAGAATGCACCTTGTGGAGAGAAATGAGAATAAAATCTAGCCGTCGGATCTGATGCATCGTACGGCTCAGATTGCATCCTGCGCTCAGATTTTGAGATAATGCATTTTCGAAGGTTTATGGTGCATTTCGACGTGATGCATTTTCACACCATTTTGGTGCATCTAATTTTGATGAAATCTTGACCCTTAGATCTCACAATCTAAAGCACTAGATTCATTCTCATTTTTCTCTTAAGATTGCATTCTCACCAGAACCAAAATCTATATATATATATATATATATGTATGTATGTATATATATATATGTATATATATATATACGGTAAGTCTAAAATGACACCAGTGCTATTGGTGTCATTTGCTTACACCAGTTCGTTTGGGATACCTACGGTGCTTTGTTTGTAAGAACGATGGTTCCTACCCCCCCTAACCCTCCCCCTAAACCCCCCACCCCA